GGGTATTTTGCCATGACTTTGCATTCGTCAAGGTGATGGCGTCAGCCGCCATGACGTAGCCAGTCTGGAACAAGAAGGGTGTTCACGCTTGGCGTGACGCTGAAAGCAAAACCCTCGACCACTGAGGCCGGGGGAAGAATCGGTAAGAAAATTTCGTTAAAGAATGTACGCGCGTTATTATGACGCACACCAAGGTGATACCCCTCGACAGAAGAGGTCGAAGGGACAGGTAGGTTTGTGATTGTGTCGGATAGGTCTACGACGCACGCTGAGACGTAGGTTGCTACCTATCTACGTGCTGGTACAAGGTGTCTAAAAGTATCAACTTGTCTTCTTAAACTCGACCTCCGAGTCGAGTGCTCTCCGCATCTACCTCTACTTAGTGAGGTACCGGCCTACCCGCCACTTGAGTGTTTTCCCGCCACGACCGTCAATATCGCGGCCACGGCCAAATACCGGCCGACCTGCTACTTGAATGTTTTCCCCCCCCCGCCATTCTGAGTATGCGGGTTTACCCCGCTGCCTTGTAACTTTCCCGCCGTGTCCCTCAAGGCCACGACTACAGGTAAGTACCGGGTCTACGGCCTTCTGAGCGACTGAGTGCCCTTGCGGGTCACACACGCGCTCAAGTCAACAGGCATGCAGACAGGCATGCGTGCACACACACAGACTTGGAAACAGACTCGGGCCGCTAAGTGGGCTGGGCCCCCCCCCCGGTCCTATATGTACCAGAGCTGCTCCCTTTCTAACCAGAATAGGAGCTAGCTCAGTTGGTTTAGATACAGTTGTCAAGCGGTGGACGCAAGGAACGAATCCCACCGCCCTCTGAGCTAGCTCCCTTTTGACAGGAGCTTTACCTTTATTTTACCTAGGTTTGAACGGCCGGGACTCGATCCCGCGACCTCTCTATCTGGGTTAGTTGTGTTGGTTGCCTCGTTGAAACGAGACACCACGTTAGGCAGTTAGTAGTAGTTCTCGTTTGAATTCGTTCATTTTATTTTATTTTATTTTGTTGATTAATTCCTTTACCCGTAGCTTCTATTTCCCTGATTCACGCAAGGGAATCTGCACCCGGAAGACGGGCTGATGCAGCCGGAGAAAGGAAGAAGCCCGGCCAGCCTACCGTACGGCATCAGCCTATAGCACGAAGAGCCCCTCGTCAAGGAAAGAGCAGGCCGCAGCAAGATCGTGCGCGCAGAGCAAGATCGGAGATCGGCCGCGCAATAGCCAGAGGGAGCGCAGGGGGGCGAGGAAGGCAGAACGCGAGAAAGACGAGGAGAGAGCACTCGTAAGGAAGTAGAAGGAGGAGAAAAGTAAGAAGGAGGAGGAAGTAAGAGGAGAAAGAGAAGGGGAAAGGGTTCGTCGTGACAAGGATAGAYTGTTGTAACTATCGATCTTGAACGACGAAAGCCTAGTAAGCGCGAGTCATCAGCTCGCGCTGATCACRTCCCTGCCCTTAGTACACTCCGYCGTCGCTCCTACGATTGAGGGGGGGGGGCGGTGAAGTGTCTGGATTGAGGCGATCTCGGCAGTCTGCCGCCAGGGTGAAGTTCGTGAGGCTTTATTACGTAGAAGAAGAAGAAGAAGAAGAAGAAAAAAAAAAAAAAAAAGAAGAAGAAGAGGGAAAAGGGGGAGAAGGAAGCAAGACAACGACAGCGCGAAGGAGAAGAAGAAGAGGGAGAAGAAGAGGAAGGAGGAAGGAGAGAGAGAGCAAGGAGGGGAAGACATACCTTCCTCACAGACGTCGACGAACGGGCTGACTTCGACGACGGCTCGACGACGACGAGGAGCGAGATAGAAAACAGGTAAGTCGTCAATATTGTGGCTTACCTCGTAATACATCAATATGATAAAACAAAATAAAAATAAATAAATAAATCAATAAATAAATAAATAAATAAATATATAAATAAATAAAATAAGAAAATCAAATGAATCTACCGCTATGACACGAATACATACATTACTACACTATACGTATGTGTATGTGTACATGAGTGTGTGTGTATAAATGTGTGTGAGACAGAGAGAGAGAGAGTTCTCCTTCTTCCTCTTCTTAGTCCACCATCTTTTTCTCACCCTCTCGCCAGCTGACTTCTCGGTGTCAGCAGACTACGACAGAGAGAGAGAAGATTGGAGATTTGAGACTTGACGACATTGGATCCAGACTTGACATGGGATACAGACGTTTTGACGAGGGACTATTTGGGCCTGCGCCGAAGACTTGGTGTTGACGACATTCCCATCTTCGCCTCTTCTACGTCTAACCTCCCTCTTCCTCGTCTGGGTATGGTCGGGGCTGGCGCAGTCTTCGTGCGTAAGGCGCCGGACCCCTTTTCACCATGGAATGATGATGATGATGTATGATCGGGGCTGCATTGCAATATTAATTGTTCGGATCACTGATATCTACGTCTTCCGCTATGTTATCTCGTACCTGTACGAGGGGTCGGCTCTAGTTCTAGTCAGCACCTTTATAGTATACAACCGTGTGTGTGAGAGTTTGAGTGTGCGGGCGCTCGTATGTGTATGTGTATGGGGGAGAGAGATCGGAGAGGGAAAGAGGAGGAGGAGAGAAAGGGGGACGATAAGTCTCCAACCTTGGCCAACAGCCAACTCTCAAGCCATGACTCGCCACGCGCTACCTAGATCGATAGAATGAGCAAATCAAAAAGTGGCAGTGCATATTGCCACATTTCAGCAGAAGATTCATTCCGTTTTTGCTCATCCTATCGATGGAATGCTTGTGTGTGTGTGTGTGTGCGTCCGTGAGTACGTGGGCACGCGTGCATGCGCGAGAAATGTGTGTGTGAGAGAGAAAGAAAGTGGAGAGAAAGAGAAGAGAGAGAGAGATTGGGCGGAGGCCAGAGGTGCTTACCTGTAGCGCCATTGCTCCAGCTTCGTCTTCAAGGTACCTGCAACACACGCCGAGGTCTCAGGTTAGTACCTGGCTCGAAACACAGAGAGAGACAGGGACCTGGACCATCAACTAAGTCTCTACCCCACGGCTCGTCGCACGCTACTTGGATCGATAGGACGAGCTAATCAAAAGGGTGACAATGTATATTTCCACGTCTCAGCGGAAGGTTCATTCCGTTTTTGCTCATCCTATCGATGGAGTGTGCGTGTGTGTGTGTGTGTGTGATAGAGAGAAAGAGAGAGTTCTCTCCTTCCCCTCTAAGTCCACTATCTCTCCCTCGCACTCTCGCTACCCAACCTTGGCTATCAGCTAAAGTCTTGAACAGCGGCTCGCCGCGAGCTACTTGGACCGATAGAACGAGCAAACCAAGAAGTGGCAGTGTATGTTTCCCCGTTTCAGCGGAAGATTCGTTCCGGTTTTGCTCGTCCTATCGGTGGAATGTGTGTGTATGTGAGACCTTCATGATTCGATCAAGAAGAGAGCGAGAGATCGAGGAGAGAAAGGGAAAGAGAGAGAAGGCAGAAGGAGAAGGAAAGCTTACCGGTCAACACTGCTTCCGTGCGTTTCCCTCTGAAGGGGAACGCACGACCTTGCAGCATGTACCTGGCCGAAAAGGTGGCCTGTATAAATCCGGTTTGTATTAGTATTAGTACGATTATTATGATGATTATTATTATTATTATTATTATTATTATTATTATTATTATGATCATTATTATTATTATTATTATTACTACTATCATTTATCATTACTATTATTTTAAATCCAATATACAAACGAAATGGCAGAGAGAGAGAGGAGATGAAAAGGGGGGGGAGAAGGGAGAAAAGAGAAGGGAGGCGAGGAAAATAGACCAAGATCGCAATAACAAAGTGATAAGTCCCTTGCCGAGTGTCCAAGCAATGTCTGTCCCAGAAAACGGGGCCGGATCGGATCTTGTTAAGTACGCCCAAGCATAACCGCTGCCTGAATTCTTGTTGTTAACCCTCAAGCTCTCACATTCGAAGAAAGGATAAGAGAGGGTGAGAGAGGAGGAAGAGAAAAGGAGATGGAGAAGAGAGAGGAGATCTAAGAAGGAGAGAAGGAGAAGAGAGAGAGGGGAAGAGCTGACGATATGATGATAATGAGAGTGTGTTGGGGCTGCACTGCAATATTGATC